CCTTATTAACTCTATACAAGAAATCACTTACAATTTTGAAATTAACAATAACGACGTACATATATTTTACAACTGTTGTAATCTTGAACGGAAAAAATATTTTTAATAGATATTCTTAATTAGAATACATGCTAATTTTATTTTATAAAAATTATTTCGCTTTGTATTTTATCTCGCACGTGAAGAATCAGTAAAATCGTTTTACTCTGTCTCTCACTGGTATTTAACTCAATAGGACGTCAATTATTGTCTTTACAGTTGCGGTGGTGGTGGCCTTTTTCATCTGCTGGGCGCCGTTTCACGCTCAAAGGCTGCTGGCTGTGTATGCTCAGAACAGCTCGTCTGAACCGGAAGATACCATGGTCATAGTCTACACCACGCTCACATACGTGTCGGGAGTGTTCTACTATTTATCTACCACAGTGAATCCTCTCCTCTACAATATCATGTCTAACAAGTTCAGAGAGGCTTTCAAGGTGAGTCGTTTCTGGAGAACTTTAATCATTCTTTATGACTTTATTTCTCACTGGCAATTTCTACATGAACTGTTTATAATTAAATACTTATATACTTGCAAAAAATAAACGAATACATTTTACATAGCATTTAAAAAATATTTTGTTACATATGTAGTTAATATAATATTTGATATTAAATATAATTACGTTTTATTATGTTCTCAATATTTTTCAAGACTTTTTGCACCTTTCGTATTTCTATAATAAATATATTACATAATGTACAAGTTCTAATTACTTTTTTGTTTTTTGTTTTCTCGGACATTATCGCTAAGCCTCAGTTAGGATCAGAATAAAATTACAAAAATAAAAAATCTTGTATAATTTTACTTTTCATCTTTTCTTCCAGTCGATGCTGCCCAAGTATTGCATCAGGAAGTTCTCGTCTCACAAGGTCATTCGTCGACAGCCGACTTATAGCAGTTTGTCGCGGTATCAGAGGTCAATAAGGCATCGATTCGATGATGCTCAACACTCGCCCTCGATATCCATCAGCGACGAACAGCAACGACTAACGAATATCGCACTGGCGAACACGAATTTCTGCGAGCCAAATGGACTCGTGAAGTCGCAGAACGAGCGAGAGGAACGACCTGAAATTAAAGAAACCGTTGGTTGTCGAGATTATACCAGAAGGGTATCCAGGGACTCCGACTGCAGCCAATTTACCACAATGACAACGTTGAGCAAGCAGGGCCTAAACAATGAGGGCAACAATAATGCGAACGAGTGTCTCTTGAGGATCCAGAGATCGCCGAAAGCTGTCACTTTAGGTAGTGTCTGTTTACTCTTATACCTCCGCTATATTAAATTAATCTTATACTTAATCAACGATGGCTAAATCAATTTCTTCGGAATTTCTTAAATTTATTCAATTAATTGGAAAATCCTGTTCAAACATCTTTACATGTCTACATGATATGTTATCTTTACATCTTTATATGTAGACATCTTTACATGTCTACATATGTAGTTACATATATCTAAAATATTATCTTGCGAATATATAAATAATATTTAAAATACTTTTATTTTATCTTATTTTATTAAAATACGTATTTTGAAAAATATGATATAATATATACATATTAAAAGAGCTTCAAATAAGTATAAAAACATTACTCTTAAAGTGCACGCTTATCATTTTGAAATTAATAAGCAGACTTTTGTCAACACATACACGCACACACATTTTGTAATTAAAGTACATCCATAAATATGAAACTATAAAAAACTATGAAAAATTTTGTAAGTTATAACAAAACATTATGTTATAATGTAAAATATTTTATTATAACTTATAATTTTTAAATACGTATATTATAATTTTTATACGGACATGTATATTCTTTTATGATCAGAACGTCAGTTAGGAACAAATTTATTTCAAGATAAAAATTAAAAGATTATATTTATACGAAATGTATATGCACAAAAAACAGAAACTGTTTTTACTTCATTTTTTTTTGCTAAATTTTTTTAATTCTTATTCATATAAATCCGACAGAACATGAAAAATATTCCTATCACTTTGGTATTTCTAGCAGGAATCCTCACGGAGAGATTGGGCCTTGGTACAAAAGGATTCTTCGCGCAGCACCGGAAGAATTTATTGACTAGCCCGATGAAACCAAAATTGGAAACCGTCATTGCGATGCGACCACGATTTCAGAGTCATCCGAGCATTGAAAGCGCCAATACGATGAGCAACTCCAGTCTTCAGGACTTTGACGAGACCGAGTTCACCGGAACGGAGTCGTCGCCTTACATGGGCGAATTAAATTTCGAACTCGTCACTTGACGTCCATTTATCTCGGCAGAACGGCGTCTCTCGAATTAGACACCGAGCTCAAATCAAATAATGCTCTTTGGTTGTGGAAACCGCGGCGTAGGTTTGTACAAACTTCTAATCCAAGAGAAGGCCACAATCGAGGCAAATCTCGATGCAACACGGATTTAGCTACGTTCTAAACAATGCATAGTTGCATTATCGAGATGAATCAGCGGAACTTACATCAAAGATGAGAGAGTATCACGAAGAATTATTGTAAAAGGAGAAAAAAGGAATTAATCCAATTATTACGATCACATAAAAATATACAAAATATGTGGAAATATTAACGATAATATAAATAAACGACATTAAAATCATTGCTTGTGGTTTGTGGATCTGAAAGGAATGCATAAGCGCTTATGTTGCTTCACGCAAAGAGCCGAACCGGAAATTATAACACGGATACAAGATGTAAAGCATGCGTGAATGTTTAATATCTAAACTAATCTGCGTATGTATGTGAATATTATATTTTCCTGTTCTATAGCATGGCTGTTAATAACGCTAGTCTTCTCTGCAAACGCGAAAGAGAATTTGCAGATGCAATTTCAGCGTTCCTAAGAATATAAGTAGAATATTATGCTCGTTAATAAGAACTCTTATTAATAAGAACGTTATTGTATAATCAAAGAAAACGTTCTGCCAAGACCGGCATGTCAATACATAAGCTATATAGCTTCTTATATTTCCTGTCTGTCGTCGATATTTATGTATTTTGTGATAAAGCGGATTGCACAACGGCTTATCGCAAAGACTTTCCCGGAAAAAAAAATTATATACAGGGTGTCCCGTAAGTTTTGGCCAATCGCTTTTGTGTAGATATTAATTACTAAAAGTTCCTAAATATTGTCCTTCAATAATTTTTTCAAATACTATCAACTTCACAGAAAATCTGCAAGGGACAAAAATCATTTATTTTCTTTTCATAGAACTCTAAGAATTTTTTTCAGAATTTATTATCAACTTTGTAGTACTGCATTTTTCTATTTTTAACGTCATGAGAAAATACAGTATTAAAAAATTCTGAAAAAATTCTCAGAACTTTATAAGAAGAAAATAAACAATTTTTGTCTCTTGCTGTTTTTCTATAAAGTTAATAGCATTTGAGTAAAAAATTAATAAAGACTAATATTTAGCGATTTTTAGTAATTAATACCTCGTTAACCATTGTGAAAATTGCAAAATGGTACAGGACTTTTCGACTCAGTTTAGTCCGCTCTATCTATATAAAAGCGATTGACCAAAACTTATAATTATATATAATTTCATATAATTATATATAATTATATATGAAACATTTTTTCCCGGATGTACACAACGTACAGTCTGTGCAACTTATTTATCTCAAGATAGAAAACTTGTACAAAATCGGAGTCGTAGTAAATGTGTAAGATATGCACTCCACAAAGGCGCATTAATAACCGTTAAATTCAATTTTAATTATCGATTCTCCATTTTTATAGCATTGATATGCTCGCTTCTGTTAGATTTAATTTCTTTTGAAATGTATACAAAAAATGTACATCAATTTAGAGAAACTACCACAAAATCTGAATCATTGCTCGGATCGGATAATTATTTATTTCCCGATGAAACTAAAATCTTCAAATACATACAAAACCATACCGAACTATTTCAACACTAGAATATCGATTATGTAACATTTTCATTGTGGAAAAATATGAAAAGTTGCTCCATTAACTTTAATGGTATAAAGGCTATTACTCTTTTTCTCACATTTTTGCCCTAGGAAAAAGTTACAATACTCTAGAACAAAAATGAAAAATTGCGCTCTTTTTAAACATATTTAAAAAATTAATTTGAAAAATAATTTGTTTAAAAGATTAATAAATAAAAATATTAAGAAAGACAGCAAAATTTTCTTTGCGTACAGACACCTTGTATGTCAGTGATAGCCTTGTACAAATTACTTCGACGTTATCAACGAAAAATAGTGGCTGCAAAATTATAATTTCTTTAGCATTTTACAATAAAAAACATTTTCCCAAGTTTACTGGTTTATCAAACACAGTAAAGGATATTAAAACATTAAAAATACAAAGTTATTCAAAATGCAATATTTTTTTTAACACCGTTAATAAAATCGCATTGAAAAATATCTCTATGACTATAATTATCCAAAAATATAGCTACGATATTTATTATTGATATTATCGATATAAATACTTATTATACATATATGTGCAACTTTGAATTAATTTTAGCATTTATTTTTGTACGTATATAATCAATGTTTCTCTTTATTTTAAGGAACAAACAATGAATCCGTATACACGACAATTGTATAATACATATGCATTATGTATATATAATACATATATATTTACTAAATAAACATGTAATAATCGTCCTTTTCAGCATTTTTAAAGTAGCGGATGTACTCACATTATCAATCTTTATCATTTCAGAAACTTTACATCAAAAACCCTTAATTATAGATAACTTTAGATATTTCAGTCTTATTCATAAAAAATAATAAAACAGTATTCTAAAAAATAATAAATATATATTTTCACCAATAAGCAGACAGTTTCATTGATGAAAAAAATATAATACTCTTTACGTTTGTTACATATATAGAAATGTTAAATATATAATATTAACTTACGAAAAAACCACCATGCTAACTTAATATACGCCAGATTTTCACAAAACATTTTGGTCTAAAAGATTTAATAAAGAATGACATCAATACAAGAACAAAAAGTACGTAAAATTAGAAATTTTACGTACTATTGAATTTTGGGTCGCTTCTCGATGTAAACTTTAATCTTGGGTAAGGCGCGAATCTCCTCTACTAGCTTCTTCAATTCTGGATGATCCTGATTCACATCCCTGGTTAAGATAAAGCTTATACGTTCAGAATATGCAGCCCACATGAAATCCGGCCATGACAGCTAAAATAATAAACATGTGTCTTTGGACTTTTGCAAAATTAACAAGATAAGCATTAGGGTAATTCCGGTATATACGCCGCATCTATACATCTATCAAAAACTTAATTTATTAATACTAGAAATTAAAAAATGTCTATTACGGTCGAAGCTGGATCTTCATTGCTTTAAAATAATTCAATCTTGAATTACTAATATACACTATATATGTACTTGCATACATACTATATTGCAGTCTTTTCAAATTGCGCGCCGAATTGTTTTTCCTGACTATAAACGCAATTAAAACTCTATAGTAATCGCGAATTAAATTGACAAGCAATTTAATAATTTAATGCTATCATCAAGCATCATATTATAAAGATGTTAATGTATTGAAAATGTTAATAAATTTATTGCGAAAAATATTACCTCGGCCGGGACTTAATTTATTAAATATTATTTACTATGTTTAAAGTAAACGAACTGTATCAGTAAAAATTTTCTACTGTCTATTACTATGAAAAAAATATTAGAAATCTGAAATATTTATTTTTCGTGTATTATAAAAAATGAAGTTTTTTAAACCCTCCATATATCCTACTTCTATAGAATATACAGCAAAAATGCTAATATATGTAGCAAGATTGTAATTATTATTTATTACTTCATATACATATTTACCTTTCTTACTTCTCAACAAAACTTTATAAACACATTTTATAAGTTATTGTGTCATTTTATGATGTAAGTAACCATAGCAAAAATGCTGTATATCCTATAGAAGTAGGATATATGGTTACTTATAGGAGGAAGGGGATATGTACGGCTCATGAAAAATTTAAAAATAATGCATATAAATAAGACGTAAAATGACACAATAACTTATAAAATGCGTTTATAAAGTTTTGTTGAGAAATAAGAAAGGTAAATATGTATATGAAGTAATAAATAATAATTACAATCTTGCTACATATATTACAAGTGTTACGATATGAGGTACATATTTCATGTAATGCATTTATTGTATTTTGTGCAATGAATTCAATCTGCGCACTTTGTATGCTTTGAGCATAAATCCCGCCCGCTAAAAATGCCGTATATCCCAAAGAGATGGGATGTACAAGGCAACAAACTAAACAAAGAATACAAAAGCAAGGCACTTGTATTTTGCTTTCTATATACAACATGCTTTACTATTCCTCTACACGTATGCATCACGAAATAACCACTGTCTTTTACATGCCCTACAGTAATCATTTTATGTAGATTATAATTTATGATGGCGCTGCTTATTACAGTGACAAATCGAATCAATTCACGATAATTTCATTAATATTAACACTAAGAAGCTGAAATCATAACTCAATATTAATATAACATAAAGGAATGTAAGTAGAGTAGTTGCGGGAAAATTACACTCTTTCTATTTTTTCTAACTTCTGCGGTGTAAATCCCAGCGCGGTGTATTTACTGGAGTTACTCTATAGTTCGACATGTAATCGATTATTACTTTGCCATTGATGAAATATCCACCGTTATTCTTAACTTGAGCTTCGAATTTGTCGAGATAGAAAGCCAATTTTTGGAAGGCGGTTTCCTTTAACTTTGCTTTGAAAACGGGGTCCTGTTCCCAATAGTATTCGCCCATAGCTGCGAAAATAAATCTGACAATGAGTTAAAACTTGTCGCACAAAGACAAAGACTCATCTGCGCTATGTAAGTACTGTAATAAAAGTAATAGCGATAGAGTACAACAATCGTTCAGGAAACGCACTAATCATTGACTTTAAATAATTTTCTTTTATGGCATAATATCTTGTAATAATAACATTGAATTCCTCAGTTTATATAAGCATAACGTGCACTCTGTATCATATTAATTAATCAAATCTCTCGTCAGTGTGGAGATATTGAAAAGTTGTGTGCCTACTTTGAATTAATTAATTATCAGCCGGTCATTCTTCAATTGATCACCAACATATTTTTACCTCGTCTAATATCCTCCATAGAATCGACCGTGGCATCAATCTCCATAGCCTCGAACTCGTCAGACCCGTATAAATTACCCTTCTTAGCAATGAAGCGAGCGATAGCTCTGGATTGATGGTATGTCTTATTGTCTATCTCCAAAATTGGCAGTTGTCCCATGGGCATGTCTACAATTTTTAAACACAAAAATGATATGTTTGCTATTAAGTTATTGCTGAACAATATTTATTCCAAGAATATACCTCTCTCTATTTACGATAGAAATATAATAATTAAATAATAAGAATAATGAACTTAAAATGAGAAAATTACAAAATAAATTCTGTAGTATAAAATCAATATTTAAACAAAAAAACAATTAAAGTTATGGTTGCAATTATCTCATAATTTCTCTCTCTCTCTCTCTCTCTTCAAAAATATAGCATAGAAATAACATACTTGGTTTATGCTTTGGCCATTCTTCCATAGTGAGTCTAATATCTTCGAATTCAATGCCGCAATAACTTAACAAGTATCTGGATGGTTCACCAACGGCTCCATCCTTAAAGTACGTTAACTTGTACGTCGACATGATCTGAAAATAGTATAGACATAAAAAATAAATTTAAAAAATAAAGATTGGTTTGTTTTATAATAGAAAACGAGGATATTGAGACCATATGGTATAAAACAATTTATAAAAATATAATGAAAAATACACTGAGAAAAAAAAGTTGCTGTTTCAAAAAAATATTAGTTGATTCAACTAAATGTAGCGGTCACGGACTGTCAAGCAAATATTTGTTAACTCAACTAAATATTTGTTAATTCAAACAAATAACATATTTTAAATTACAAGATTTTGTTAATCTAAATATATAAATATTCGAACTAAATAATCATTACGAACTAAACGCATTTAGTCAAGTTAACAACTTTTTTTTCTCAGTGTATGAATTTATTTTGCATCTACAATAAATTACAGGCGACATGTACAGTAAGTTCTCAGCACTTGAGATTTATCTTTGCACGTATTATCTTTGCACATATTATTTTTGTGTCAATTCATAAGTGTATCCATTTAATAAAAAAATTAATATTACCAGAAAATCGTAATTCTACTATTACTTTGCAATCTGCAATTCAATTTCTCACAAAGGTTAAATCTCTCGATCTAACACTGAATGCAGAGTTTCCTGAAGTACAACTAAAACTGCTATACTGTTGTAGTAAAGCGATACTTCTTATCTGATTTATCCACTCAGGGACATGTATTCTTTTTTTAAAAGTACTTCGTTATCTACAATATAAATAAAATAAGACTCCAATATTTAACAATAATATAGAATATTATAGAATAAGAATTGCCTATGTGAGCCGTCACAGGATATTTTTCGCGAGAAAATATATTTAAAAAACTTTTTAAATAATATATTTTTGAAAATTACAAACGTTTCGATAACATTATTGTGTCCTCTTCAAATGTGAAGCACAGAAACGGATTATAAATATAAATTGTCAAATTTTGAAAAATATAATTGAACAGAGATTTTTACGAAAAATATCCTGTGACTCATATAGGCAATTCTTACTCTATATTATTATTTCGTTATCTGTTAAAAATTATCTACAGTGGAAAAAATAGAATTAATGCAAGCAATAAAGCGGAGTTTCATTTAAAAAATAAAAAAAAATATATACATTTTTTTTCCGTTTGCAAATTCTGTAAATGCGTTCAATTATTCATATATAATATAATATATGTGTGACACAAATCAACTATGACATTTTGGTTGTATTACGGGATTCGAACGATGGTTATATTGTGGCCAGTGCCAATGATTTACACAACGTATTCAAAAATTAAATCTTTTATTTTCGATCTCTTGCATTCCGTGCGAGCATTCTTTAGACCACCGAGAGGAAATTTGAGGGGATTATTAACCCTTACTGTACCAATATAGGTAATTAATGACCGAGCGATTCCTGTTCGTGCAACTTTTTTTGAGTCTTTCGGCAATTATAAATTATACTACATTTTATTATTTTCCAAAATAAAGAGTCAATATTTATTCTAGAAAGTTGAAAGTATGTTGAAGAGGTGAAAAAACAAAGAGTATGGATGAGGCACCAAATTGTACATGATACAATAAGGATTAATAATGTTGAATGACATATTAAAATCTGTAAATAATTAATTCTTATTGCGAAAAATATTACTCGGCCGGGAGTCGAACCCGGATCTCTTGCATTTCGTGCGTCTCTTCCATTCTCGCACATACTATCTGTATTGGTATTATTGAAATCATATGCTATGCGATGATATGCATAATTGATAATTACAAAACAACATGCTATCTGTGTTGACATTATTGAAATCATATGCTAAGCGATGATATGCATAATTGATAATTATGTATATTCAAATAGATAAGTAAGAGGGGATTGAAATATGTATAAGAAGCGAGTAGCACATACTTTTACTGAGTAAACAAGATTTAATTTCATTTTTATTTCTTTATTACGTAATAATGTTAAATATTGTTAGTTTGCAAAAAAAAAATGGATGAAACTATTGGGGCGTAATATATATAAGCACGTAATTCTTTTACAAAACGTTTCAAAATAGAATAACTAGTGACGAATGATGTCGCGACATGTAACAAGTCGAAGAAATAAATCAAAGCTAGAATTATAAATCGTTTTATTAAGTAGTGCAGCGTACATAGCAAACTACTTTGTAATTTAACACAGTCTGTCTGACTATTTGTCCCTTTGATTGATATCCGTCTGTAAGATTTCTCAGAAACGATATTTAATTTTTTAGAACTCTGTTTTTGGCAGATATCTGAGGACCTTAGTTTCATCAAGACAAAGTATGAATCAAATTAATTAAAGGAATCAAAGATCGAAGTCCATAAGTCAGTAATACAGAGCAAATCGATGGTTTAAATTTTTCAAATTCTATTTTTGACAATAGATACTAAAAATTTTTAGTTTTACCGAGGTAAAATATGAGTCAAATCAATTAATGTGAGAAAACCAAAAGTCAAAGTAAATTTGAATTTCTTCTAATAGGTGCAGGTTTTTCGCTGCATTACTTACAATTAGTTATAATCGTTGCAAAGGGTTTATTTAAAATTCAGTTTTAGGTCGCTTTTCGATGTAAGCTTTAACGTTGGGCAAAGCGCGAACTTTCTCCACTAGTTTTTTCAATTCGGGATGATCTTCATTCGGATCCACAGCCAGAATAGAGCTCAGAATGTCACAATGTCCAGCCCATTGGAAATCTGCCCAAGACAACTAAAATAACAAAAAGAAATTTTAGTCTCTTTACGAAGACAAATACATTTGACAACACGAAGATCAATAGCTTAGTAAACAATAGAAAATTATTACTTTGCCACCGACGAGGTATCCGCCGTTCTTCTTAACTTGTTCTTCAAACTTATCGCGAGAGTGGTACAATTTTTGGAAGACGATTTCCTTGAGTTTCGCTTTGAAGGTGGGATTTTGTTCCATATAATAATGGCCCATTGCTACAAAAATAAATTTATCTATCGATTATTTGTATTGAAGAAAAAGAAAAAGACTTTTGTGGTAAACCGTGAGAAAAGCATAATTAAACAGCATGTGAAAACATTTAAAAAATATATGATTTAAAATAGCTGCTTTATGCAGAATACTTTACAGTAACATTAATATTATTCTGGATATATGCAGCATGTATGTATCATTGAATAATTCCGCTAGTATGGAAGATTCAAAAAGTCAAAATCATGTTGCTTGGGTTATTATGTAATTGATGACCTGTCATTTTTTTATATTTACTGATCACCGAAATTTTTACCGTGTCTTATATCATCGATAGAATCGACTACAGCATCAATCTCCATAGCCTCGAAATCATCGGATCCGTATAAATTGCCCTTCTTGGCGATGAATCGTCCAATAGCCTTAGACTGATGATATTGCTTCCCATCAATCTCCAGGACCGGCACTTGTCCCATGGGCATGTCTGCAATATATAAAAATATTATTAGATTATTGAAAACAATATCTGTTTCATGTGCGCATTTATACTAGAAATGCGACTATATAAAAGAACTTACGACCTGTCAATAAATGCGAGAAATTTAGGTTGCAAAATAAAGAAGAATGTGAAAAAATTTCTTGCAGAGCATGAATTAATCGTTGGAAATTGTTCGTAGTATAGACATAGAAAGTAACAGTTATTTGTGCATTAGTTCCGGAGAAAGTATTAAAAATCGAGATTTATACAATTAATGATTGCTGAAATAATCATATGAATGTTTTTTCTAAAGATTTGTGTCCTTTAAAATAAAATCAATGGCATATTTATATATGTTGCAAAAGATGATTTAATTATATACCAAATAATTATTATTTCCTATTCTATAGTTTTAGTAATAGTTTTAGTAATTATTCTATAGTTTTAATTTATACTTTGTATTTAAGTAAAAAATAAACTTTTTCGCATTCTCCTTTTATATAACACGAATTATTATATATAAATGGATGGAATCTCAAATGTATTTCAAAATTATAGTATATATAGAGATAACATACTTGGTTTATACTTTGGCCATTCATCAAAAGTGATTCTGATATCCTCAAATTTGATGCCACAATGACTTAACAAGAACCTAATTGGCTCCCCAATGCCAGTAGCGTTGAGATACATTAACTTATACGTCGGCATATTCTGGAAATTAATAAATACGAAAACAAATAATATATATATATGTATATATAAAGTAAGGTTGCGATTAAAAAGGTCTAAAGAGATAGCACACGAAGTCATTTTGTGGCGTGACAAGCACAGGCAAGCAACCCGTATGAACGAATCAATTGATGCTTGTGTATAAACAGTTCGGAGTTTATATGGCAACACATCAATACTTTATCGCGTCATGAAATGACCTTGTGTGCTTCAATATTAGCTTCAATTTTTAATGAGGTCTGCAAATAATTGTTGACCATTAACTAAAAAAATGATAAATATAATCAAATTCAATCTTTGTTATTTGATTTAATAACTTAATTAATATTATAACAACCGTAAAAAGATTTCTTCTAATAAAAAACTTCACGATAATACATAAATTAATGTCTTCATTTAAGAATCCGCGCTGTGTAATCGGTACGTTTAAAATACTGGACTATAACCTTAGTATAAATTAACAAAAGTACAGAACAAAAATACTCAGTATAAATAATAAGTAGAAAGTTTAAAGGGCGAATGAGAGTCAGAATATAAAAATTTCTTAAATTATCATAACCAATATATTAATACGTAAATTTTAAAAATTAATGTAATAACAAAATTAAGAAGATTACATAAATTAAATTATCCTTACGTGTGATTACATAGTTACAAAAAACGCATATGCTAACAAAACATGTTTCGGCTGCAGAATTGAGCCTTCCTCAGTTATACAAATTTCAACGCATATTCAAAAATCCACATAGTTATCTACCAAGTTGAATAAACATTGCTCACAAAACGACTGCTCGTGTGGAGGAAACATTAGAGATTCTATAACCTCAGCATAACTTGAATGTATTTAACATTATTTGTGTTGAAAAAAAAGAAAAATACTTTCGTGGTAAACCGCGAGAAAAGCATAATTAAACAGCGTGCGAAAACATTAAAAAAATATATGATTTAAAATAGCTGCTTTGTGCAGAATACTTTACAGTAACATTAATATTATTCTGGACATGTATGCAACATGTATGTATCATTAAAAATAAAAATTGAATGAATGTATTTAACATAATTGAGTACAAGTACGTTTCGGTTAAATTCTAGCCTTCTTCAGCTTGACATCGTTGATAATAGAAACATCTATTAACACGTGGAAAACTTTTGGTTATCTCCCAGTTATATCCATGAGCAGATAGTACGCTGGATGGTCTCATGGAGATCGAGACCTTCAAAATAGTCAGTTATGTAAAAACAATAAGTTGTTAGAATGTATATAGACTATAATTAATAGGAGGGTTACCTCAGGAAGCACGTATGCAGAAGTAAAATACAGTTGAAAATCTAGACAAAATTGTGATACTAAAATATCCACTATAACGTCGAATAATGTAAAAATGTCGATAATATACATTGAATTAAACAACGATCTTAAGTTGCGAGTTACAGTATTTTAAGCGCATCGATTACAGCGCGAATTCCTAAATGTTCTATATTAATTTATGTATCATCGTTAAGTTTTTTAATTAATATTGTTATGATAACTATATTTGATATTTATTAAAAAATAAACCATTTTTAGAAGTATCACTTTAGGCAGTATTAAAATAAGCGTACTCGATTACTTATTCCAAAAGCAGGTTACGAAATGAAGAAGATAGAATTCCTCATTACCTAGCAGTTTGTAATCCGGCTTGAAAAATCGAGGCTCTAGCAACCGACACACACCTAATCGCGGATCGAGAATGACTGGAGAGAGTTTCGTTGAAACGGTACTGTCTACATATCTAGTCACTTAGTGACATAAGTCCTTTTTATAGAAAGAATTATAATACTAATCTTACACACACAATCACATGCACACAAAATTCATTTAACTTAGCTAGAATGCACGCATGGAAGGTTGAATTCTAAGCAGAACAACAAATCGCTATAATATCATAAAAATATTAAAATGAATCGTAAGATTGGTGAGTGATCGAAAAGTGACTTTAATAATCATTTTGGAGTTATTTCGACATTATTTTAATGACATAATCTTTTATCTTGCTTGGAATATAATACAAAAAAAAAGAATGGATATCTTTTATTTTCTCTTAGATCAAAACGCTAATCACAGGATAGTGACGCAAACTATATCGTGGCATTTTTATTTTTTACATCAAAGACGATTTCTCATCTTTTATTACATCACATTGTATCTTCTTTATCATTATGCATTTTGCAAAAATTTGAAAGTGATAAAAAATTAAGATTATTTTGCGTTATCTATATAATATCTATATAATAAAATACGATGCTATCTTATTATGCTAGGTTTAATTATTTTAATATATATAATTATAAGTGAGCTCCGTTTCAAGCATGATGACTATGATGTATCATTTTATCTTTCTTTAATATTCGGTGAACGACAAGAATAGAATAATGCATCATGCGTATTATGCGTGAAACAAAACATACTTTGTAAATAGTTTCTTAGTTAAAAACGATATTATTGCTTTTATTTGCTAATGTAAATGCAGTAGAAATACTGATATTATCATGATAATTTACATTCCATTGTTCATAAATAACGTAGTAAAATCGTCTCCTTCTACTGTTATAATCCTTCCGGGATGGGGTTTAAGATTATTCCAGGATTATAACAGTATTTCTTATATTTTCTTTAAACAATAATAACTTTTCCTAATTATATTACAGAATATAACGATTAAAAAATTAGCCATTATTGCTTTTAATATATCGTTTAATATTGTATAATAAGACAAAGTGATAAAAAAAAACATAATTTTTTATTATTTATAACGTAATATTATTCCATGTTATTTAAATTATATAATATTTATAATAATATATATATTTGATAAATATACGCAATATTTTTGAACAGATAAGAAAGAAGGAATTTTAAAAATAAGAAGCGACAAGCACGTACACTTTTATGCTGCAAACGAAAAGATTTTATTTCCTTTTCACACTTGTTCCGCAATAATATTAGTTGTTATTAGATTGCAGAGAAACTGATTAAAGCTATTCGAATGTAATACATTAGCACACTATTCTTTTTACAAAACACTTTGAGATAGAATAGTTATTACAAAACGATGACGTAACAAATCAATGAAAGAGCATAAAAGTATAAATCGTTTTATTTACATTTGGGTTGTGGGTCGCTTCTCAATATAAGCTTTAATGTTAGGCAAAGCACGAACTTTCTCCACTAGTTTCTTCAATTCGGAATGATCCTTATTCGGATCATCCCCCAGAACAAAACTCAGATAATCGAAATATGCAGCCCACAGGAGATCTGCCCACGACAGCTACAACAACAAAAATATATTTTCGTCTGAACGAAATTACGATGATAGAGGTAATAAAATTAGTTATATAGCTTGGCACGGAATCGAAATTTATTACCTTGCCACCAACGAAATATCCGCCGTTCTTCTTAACTTGAGCCTCGAATTTGTCGAGATAATAGGGCAATTTTTGGAAGGCAGTCTCTTTGAGTTTCTCTTTGAAAGCGGGATCTTTTTCCCAGTAATATTGGGATAATGCTACAAAAATAAATTTACCGTACGATTTTTGCTTCGCATAGAGATAAAAAGCATATTGTACGATAAATCACCGTGAGAAGAGCGATATTAATTAAACAGCGCGCGATAATTATTCAGGAAATATATTGTTAACTTCAAATATCTGCTTTATGCAGATCAACAATAACATTAAACCCCTATTTGACATATGCGCAACATGTGTGCAAGGTGTATTGATGACTAATCCCATCGGTGTGAAAGACTCGGAAAGTTACAATGTATGTGTCTTGTTGATTAAATGATTATATAATCGACAACTTGTTATCCTTCCACATTGGTTGATTAGCAATATTTTTACCTAATCTTATGTCGTCCATAGAATCAATAGTAGCATCAATCTCCATAGCCTCGAAATCATCAGACCCATATAAATTGCCCTTCTTGGCGAGGAATCGTCCGATGGCCCTGGACTGATGATATTGCTTCCCGTCGATCTCTAAGACTGGCACTTGTCCCATGGGCACGTCTGCAATGTGTAAAAATATCATGAGATTATTGCAAAGCAATATCTGTCCCACGCATATATTAGAAACATAAATGATCGTAAACCGAATGATCGTAGAACAATAAAACTTGACGATATAGATGCGAGAAATTCCATGCACTTTGCAAAGTAAATTTTATAACACGAATTAGTGTTTAGATGAAAGAACAATTGAAATTATGATCGTTTTGTAATCTAAAAATAATAGCATATGAAAGGTAACATACTTGGTTTATGTTTTGGCCAATCATCGGAGGTAAACCTAACATCCTCAAATTTAATGCCACATTGATTTAACAAAAACCTAATTGACTCCCCAAGGCCGGTAACGTTGAAATACAATAACTTGTACATTTTCTGAAAATTGTATAAATATAAAAATGTATGTACAAAATATTATAAGGTTTACCTCATTTTCAAGCAAGTCTAAACAAACATAATGCCAGTAAATACAAAAATCCATGCGACATAATAAAATGTTGCACACTTGCGTCTCATCTCATCTTTGAATTATCACACAGTTTACGAAAAATTTCGACGGCTTGAACAATTCCCTTTGCAAGAAACTTGATCGATGCACGAACTTAGATCACGCGTTGCACAATTGCATTCGGTGCGTTTTATTACTTAGATATCGCAACAACTACTGCAGAAATAACTGCCGCAAATCCACAACTATGTAAGACAGCGTGGACACTACCACCTGTTACTCACAATCAAGGTAAATATGTTTACCAATGTTGATTTTGAATTTACGCAAAAAAAAGATCTTGTTAAAAAAAAAAATTTAATTGAACCACCCCGTACTTTAAATACAATATTTAAATCAACGTTTTATTATTTATAAGAAGAAGATAGTATTATGATCCATATAGATATATATATGGTTCTTCATAATATCTTCGCTATTAGATAGCGAATTCTAATGAATACTTATAAAATTATTTATTTAGCAGCCATTACACAATAATGCTAATACAAATACACAGTAGCCAGCATTTATGTACATTTTCAACGCATCAAATGCATTTTTATATAACTTTCGAGTTTTTACTTTTGAAATGCAAGGTACATTTTAGCTTGATTATACATTTTTTAAACTCGTATGCATTATCACATGAATATATTATACACTTAAGTGTTTGTTATTTGATATTTTATTCGGTTGTACTATTAGATGTTAAATAATAACATGGCAATTAGCTAATGTAGCCTTCTAAACGTGCTGATAATACGACCTATTTTAAGGTTCTCACGTAATGTTTACCAAAGAATTCAATAAGCGCACACAGCTCTGCTGTAGATCCATAGTTCACGTTATATATTCCATAAATTCTTAGTACTGATACAGCAAGTTATGTTTATAAAAATTTATATGTACGTATATACATATACATTCTGCAATAGGTTTTCTAAATATATAATTTTAACTAAGCACTGTTTTTTAAGAAGAACTAATTTTTTATAAAAGACCGCAGCACCTTTATTCTCTTTTTCGATTTATTACGCGTCCTTATATTTTTATAAATAATGTCTCACAAGTATAATCAATATTTAATAATATATTTCATAATTTTGAAAAAATCGATTGAATAACACTTTGACAAATATAATCATTAAGTTTTCAATTTATATATGGATTATTAACAGAGTTATTGTACAAAATGTACATAGGGGCCTATAATGCCACCTTCTCCTCTAATATAAGACACTAATTTGAATATTGCATGGGGGCGTTAAATAATCTAGCATCGTCCCTGCTCTCGCTATTTAAGGTTTGCTTGCGTCGCATGCTTCAATATACTTCAACATTCCCCTATCACAGCACCTACTCATTCCAACGCGCATGTTGACGCATATGACGCGAACAAATCTTCAATTTAAGCCTTGTGTGTACAATGATAAAAGTTGTTCCGAGATATCGGACGGGAGAAAAATTAACAAAATCACATTTCAACAATTTACTCATTTGAACAATTCAATTAGTCAATTCTTTCTCTGTCTGAGATCTCGAAGCGATTTAATTTTAGCATCGTTGACTTTACGCAAATTTAATACGTATAAGTTGACGCAAAGTTCGAAACAAAGTTTTCGAAATTTTGCTATCCAACTGTATTGTATATTAAACTTATTTTTATATAACTCCAATCATTTTTTATATATAAGTAATCCTGTATAATCAAATTCAGTCTTGGTATTTAATTACATAATTTAATTTAATCCTTATGACACGCACAAAACACACAAAACACTACAATTCTATTTTATATTTATTTAAAAATAAATCATTTCCAAAAGTATTAATTCAAATAATATTAAAATAAGCATACTCGCTTGTTTATTCTAGAAACAGGTTATAAAATTAAGAAGATACAATTCCCTATTACCTTGCAGTCTGTATTAATCTATTGTAGAAATCCGAGACTCTGACAATCGATGTGAACCTGTTCGCGTATCAAGAACGACTGAGCGTTTCGTTGGACCGATATTGTGTAATGTGTACCCAGTTACTTGGGAACATATGTCCTTGTTTCAAAAGGAATTTATAGGTCTTGTTTTTTGTCATTGCATTGGGTTACATTAAAATTTTCTATCTTTGCAGTTTAATTAAACTTCAAATATATGTATATATCTATTTGATTTTAAGTACAAACGCATTAATTCAGCCATAAAGAGAGAGAGAGAAAAAGAGATAGAGAGGCAGAGAGAAAAAGAGATAGAGAGGCAGAGAGAAAAAGAGATAGTGAGGCAGAGAGAGGG